CAAGTGACCTCCCTGCCTCAGCCTCCCAAAGTGCTGAGACTACAGGCGTGAGCCAACCACACCCCGCCTGGAAAGGCTAGCTTCAGAAAAGCCTACTTATGGGCACCAGCTTTCCTCCAGAAGAGCATCTCCATGAGTATAAGTCTTCTCTGGGCAAACTCAAGGAATTCCTGACCCACCCTGACAGAGAGGGGGTAAGCGAGATGCCCTAATCCTGGGCCTTCAGACCAAAGATTCAGCTGGTGGCTAACATAAAACAAGCCTGCAGCACGTTCGACAGCACTTGTCTCAGATCTTCTTACCTAGCTTCTCCATTTCATTTCAGGCTCCACTCCTTCAAAACACTGGCTTCCAACCCTCTTTCCTATTCCAGTCTTGTAGGACTTCCTTGGATATGTCTCACGGTCATTGTATTTTTCTTCCTAGTTTTTGTTGATTTAGATAACACCAGGCCACATTCAGCCCTAAAGGGACCCCTCCCTGCCTTGGCTTGTTTTGTCATTGCTTTGTCATTGCTATCATCCAGGCCTGTCAGGACACTCCACAGCAGGTGGTGGGACAGAGCGGGTGAGCTTAAGCCAGGAAGGAACAAATGTATTTGCAATGACAATGAGCTAGGAGGAATGCTACCACCACCTTCCAGCCTCTCTTGAGCTGGGGGAGACTGAGCCACTTCCTCTCCAGGGTTTCACAGGCCACAGAGCACTGGGAGGAGGACCAGAGTTGAGTGCAGGAAGATGGTGACAAGGTATTCAGTAAGGACTCTGGTGTTCCAGGCTGGTTTGTATAGATACCATGGAACGTCCAGAAGGTAAGTTGGAAGCATGGCATAGCGGGTAAAGGAGAACAAAGCCGAGAGTTGCTGAGCAAAGTCTTGCATTTAGGATGGGCAGCAGAACACAAGAGGAGGGGTGGCCTGGTGGGCATGGCTGGTGCAGGTGCATGGCAGGTGACACCTAAGGCCTAAAGAGGCAGGAGTCTGATGGCCTAAGTCTTCACCAGACAGCCCTGGTGGAAAGTTATCCTCAGCTGTGATTCGAGAATCTTGGAGCCTGTATTTGAGAGTTAGGACTGGAGAAGTATGAAGTATAGGATGAGACCACCCCTTGGAGGGTTTGCTTGGGTGAGTATGAGATGGTGTTGGGCCCCCTCGGGATATTCCTCTTTAATGGACTGGTCTGCAGTGTGTATGGCCCAGTGAAAGATGCTCCCTCATTGTACTTTAGAAAAAAAGAGGAGAAGCAATTTCAAGAAGGCCAAAGGCAAGAGGAATTTCCCTCCATATACATCCATAGAATAAAAGGTGACTTCAGGTTGGGCACGGTGGCTCATGCCTGTAATCCCAGCACTTTGGGAGGCCAAGGCAGGTGGATAACCTGAGGCCAGGAGTTTGAGTCCAGCCTGATCAACAGAGTGAAACCCCGTCTCTACTAAAAATACAAAAACTTAGCTGGACCGTGGTGGTACACACCTGTAATCCCAGCTACTCGGGAGGCTGAGGCATGAGAATCACTTGAAGCCAGTAGGCAGAGTTTGCAGTGAGCCGAGATTGCACCACTGTACTCCAGCATGGGTGACACCTTGTCTCAAAAAAAAAAAAAAAAAAAAAAAAAAAAAAAAAAAAAGGGTTTCTTCAGTCCAAAAAAGCAATATTCTACCTTCAGGGTCATTCACCTTTGGTAGAATAGAGCCTGGAAATTTATCTGTACGGTTACTTTCCTAAGCAAATGAACTGGGGGGTTTCTGAGGCAACTGACCTCCATCTTTTGTTTCTGTATATTTTAAAAGAGAAATCGATGATGGGTGGATCAAGCTCTCTCTTGTCCCCAGAGACATAGTTCAAGTATTCTTATTCAAGCATTTTTTGCTTTCAGGTTTTCTTGGCTAGAGGATTCTAAGACCTTTTGACTTTAGCTTGATTTTCTCAAGTTATCTCTCAAAATTTTTCAGTAATAAAGCTCCTTCTTCAAGCAGTAGTTTATAGAGGCCACAATACAGGAATCAGAAAAACTTAGGATTTTATTAACATATATTTATTTTATAACTTCACATTTATAACATTTTACTTTGTATACTGTCAATAAATGACAATGAAACCATTTTCACAAATACAAAAACACATGAAATTAGGGAGTCATGGTAACCACCGCATCACTTTGGTCAAACAGTATTAAAAATATAATTTAGAAAGATAAATGATCACAAGTGATACCTTTAAAAAAATGCTTTTCTTACAATCTCAGGATATTCTTCAGTTAAACTGAACCACAATCAGAAAAAATAAGTAATTATTTAAAAGTCAAACCTCTCACAATTGTCAACAACTGCTGGAAGAGTCATCACAAATATAAAAAACAACAAGCACTCAAATTTACAATAAGAGCTGAAACGGTTTCTAACACCATGGTAGACTGGAAGTCAACTGGAAGCATATTAACTTGTGACCGCACAACTGTCAGGACAATAAAGAAAGCATGCATTGAATTGAGCAGACAGCAACATCATGAAAATCCTAAGCGCTTCAATGTATTGAGGGCTTTCCGTGTTCCAGATGTCATGCAACGTGCTTTAAAAGCATTAAGTCATTTGTTCATAACAACCGTGTACTCTTATCTTCTTATTTTTCAGATGTGGAAACTGATGTCTAGAGAAGCTAAGCAATTTGCTTACAGTATGCACAAATCTACCACGAGACTACACAGCAACTGTGTTGGAGCTTTGCCTAGCACATATAACTAAATGGTGCTCATCTGCACTGCACTCACACACTTACGTGATACACAGGTCTGACCTAAATACACAGGTCTGATCTAAACAGCCATGTGGTACTACCGCTTTTAAAATCTATGAACAATTAAAAGTTCAGATACGTACACAGACACCATAAAGGAAACTTTGCTCTAAGGTCTACACAAAATGAGCCCATCTGGAAATAAACGCAAACCTGGTGGTGAATGCTTCTGTGTTAAAATTTGGTTATCAGCCCGTTTGAATCTAGCTGTTATTTACTAGAGATTTAAAGAGTTTAGGCTGGGCGCGGGGGCTCACACCTGTAATCCCAGCACTTTGGGAGGCTGAGGTGAGCGGATCACTTGAGGTCAGGAGTTTGAGACCAGCCTGGCCAACGTGGCGAAACCCCGTTTCTACTAAAAATACAAAAATTAGTCGGGCATGGTGGCGGGCGCCTGTAATCCCAGCTACTTGGGAGGCTGAGGCATGAGAATCACTTGAACCTGGGAGGCAGAGGTTTCAGTGAGCTGAGATTGTGCCACTGTACTCCAGCCTGGGCGATAGAGCAAGACTCAGTCTCAAAATAATAATAATAACAATTAAAAAAAAATAAAGAGTTTAAAATACATTTTGGAGATGGAACTACTAGAAAATCTCTGCAGAACTGCAGAGCACAATGTGAAAGTCATCAGGATGGTGGAGGGTGGACTAGTGTGAGTCAAAGTTCTGGGCTTCTGTCTAGGCTCCATTACTTCTTAGCATTTTGGTGTTGAGGAGACCACTTAACCCATCTGAGCTTCAGTTTCTTTCTCTTTATAAAGAGCAAAATTATACCACAACAGGGTGGCTGTATACATTCAGTGAGATATACATGAAACACCTTGCACACAGTAGGCCCTCAATAAATGTGAGTTCCTTTTCTCTCCTCTTTGTCCTTTGTTGCCACTAAAAATCTTCTCTAAGCAAACCAGCCTGCTCACTAAATCCAAACCTGCCCTAAACACCTCTGCTCTTGAGCATGCTGTCCCCTTATGTCCCCCTTTCTCTGGGGACACCTCTCAGGCTGTGGACCTCTTGAAAGCAGAACTTAGGTTGAGTCATCTGTGTCTTCAGGGCCCGACACAGTACCTAGTTCTGGGACCATCTATCTGACACCTAGCAGAAAGGCAGGAAGAACACTTCCCAGGTTAAAACAACACAATAACGACAATATCAACAAAAACCTGCAAGCGGAGATAGTCCTATTCACTGGGTGATGACACTTTTATTGGGGTGATGAACTTAATTCACACAAAGGATTAGTTAGCCTTTTACCTGTCTAGATCATCTCCTCATCTAGACTGGAACCTGTCTGAGGGCAGGGCCCATTTTGTTGGTTTATAACTGCTCAACTGTAGGTTATAGCTGTAGTCTTGTAACTCCTTGAACTGTGTCTCACAAAGCCAGGTACTCAGGGAGAATTTGCTGATTTAAGGAAGCGAAACACCTGACAAGTCAAACAGCTTTATTTTTCAAACATATTACAAAAGGTTTTTTTTTTTTTTTGACTGCCAATTCTTTCTTCTATGGTATGGGCCAATTCTGGTCTACTTGGGATTATGTAAAGAAAATTGGAAGTACAAGTGTTTCAGATTCCTTCAGGCTTACTATCTAATATTTGGAGTTTAATCTTTTGTTCATTAATAATCTACAAAGGGTCTAAGAAACTCCTAGATATTTTTTCTTAAAAAGAAAAATCAAGGGCCAGGCATGGTGGTTCATGCCTATAATCCCAGCACTTTGGGAGGCCGAGTTGGGCACATCATTTGAGCCTAGGAGTTCCAGACCAGCCTGAGCAACACAAAACCCTGTCTCTACCAAGAAACAAAAGAATAGTTAGGCGTGGTGGTCCATGCCTGTAGTCCCAGGTACTTGGGAGGCTAAGGTGTGAGGATCACCTGAGCCTGAGCCTGGGAAGTCAAGGCTGCAGTGAGCCACTGCACTCCAGCCTGGGTGATAAGAAGAAATAAAGAAGAAAGAGAAAAAGAAAAATAGGAAGGAAGGCAGGAAGGAAGGAGAGAAGGAGAGGAGAGAAGGAGAGAGGGAGGGAGGGAGGGAGGCAGGGAAGGAAGGAAGGGAGGGAGGGAGGGAGGAAGGAAGGAAGGAAGGAAGGAAGGAAGGAAGGAAGGAAGGAAGGAAGGAAGGAAGGAAAGGAAGGTCAATAATTGGCTGTCATGCTTTGATTTTAGTCCCATACATTAAAGAAAAAAAAATTTAAAGGTCTTGAAGGAAGGAAGGAAGGAAAGGAAGGTCAATAATTGGCTGTCATGCTTTGATTTTAGTCCCATACATTAAAGAAAAAAAAATTTAAAGGTCTTAGCCTAGTAAAGTGAATGTCCCTAGGCCCACTGCCCATGGGTGGTTTTCAGTCGTCCCCTTCATGATTCCAGCCGCCATAGCCATCTCCTTCCTCTGGCTCTTCGATACTCTCATTCTCAAAGGAGGCCTCTTCCTCCTCTTCTTCCCGTATTACCTTCATTAACTCAAGGAAGTTGGGGGGCGGGCCCTGATCCTTCAGCTCCCTAAGCCGGCACCACAGCATCTGGTTAAGAGTGGCCCCAGCCATGACCTGCTCCAGGCGGACCTGGTCCGCAATACGCCGAGGGATGGCGCGTTTCTCCACCGCTCTTCGGAGCAGGGTTTCTAACCGTAACACATAGGCTGAGACCTTCTCTCCTTCCTCCTGATAGGTCTTCAGATACCTCACCTGGGCTGTCCTGCGGCTCTCTAGGCTCCCAAACACCTGCTTAAAGGCCTCCAAACACTCTTCTACACTGATGGACGGGTTGTCTGCCTGCACTATGTGCATGAGGTCCAGGGCAGGGCCCCGCAGGCTTTCTGCCAGCCACCTTTTCTTTTCTGCCTCTGTTACTGGCCACTCTTTGACTATCTCCGTGGCCTGTTCCAACCAGACCTCAAAGGGCTCTTCCTCTGGGGCCGGGACAGCACTCCCAGAGAACACTCGCAGTTTCCGGTATCTCATAGGTAGCAGGGGCTGAGGCGCATGTGCCATTGCCTGTCCCAACAAATGGGCCAGTAATTCTGGTGAGATGCAGGGCACTGTGGCTGGAGACATGCCCTCGTGCCCCAGGGCTCGAAACATACCTGAGACCGTCTGCCCCTCTTTTTCTAGAAAGAGGTTCAGTCTTTCCAGAAACTCAGTGTCCTGATTAGGGGTCTTAAAGACCACCTTCCAGACACCCCCCTTTCCCTGGACCTCACTGGGAATGGCCGAGACATCAGTATCTTCCAGAAGCTCTAGTAAGACAGCATTGGCATTCTCCTGCTTCCGGAATATCTTGCCAAGCAGTCTATAGCTGCCCAGAGACTTTAAAGTCTCCTGAAGGACCTCCTGAATCTCAGCCTCCTCATAGTCCGCCGGTATCCCCGTAACCATCAGTGACTTCTGCTCATCCACACTCATTATCCTGCACCAGTCCTCTAACAGCGCCAGCGCCATTGTCCCAAGAACTGACCCGCTCTGACTCTGCGGGCACCAATTTGTTAGTGGGGCAGCTATGCACTGACTTAGTATTGAAAATATCCTGAATGAGCGTCTAACCTTAGAACCCACCAGTGAATGGGTCCCAGACTAGGGCACTCAAAGACAGTCCCAAAGTTTTCTGGACAAATGACCCTGGCCTCCTCAGTGGCAAGAACTCAGGACTTCTTGTCTTTAGACCTGACCCAGGTGGGCAGGTTGTATCTCAGTTCTAACCACACCTCTGTCCGCAGCTCTGAAGTTTGGTTGCGGATGATCTTCTCAAAGATGCTGGCAGCCACGTGGCGCTGACCCTTCTGGGATAGTTGAGGCACCTGGGTCAACTGCTTTCTCCACAGCCTCCTGGTCTCCGATGTTTTGTCTCTCTCCAGTTGGTGGGAAAATGCCTTCCACTCTGGTACCCAGAATTCTTGGAGAGAAGCCTCCCAGCAGGGTGGCTTGGAACCCTAGTGAAACAATGTTCAGTTTTACTACATAGTGCTCTCTTTCCCTGGAAGCATCCATACTCTAGTCTGGAATGGAACTGGGGGCAGATGGGGGTTCTGCTTCACACTGTGCTTGCATTCATCCCCCTCTTGTCACACCCCTTGTTTGCTTACTGTGACTTTTTTTCTCCTGAGGACTCCAATGAAATCTGGCGTTCCCACCATATGCTCATCAGACCTGTTGATTAATGTCTGAGCCCCAGTTAAGGACAGGATTCAAGGTCTTTGCCATGTGAAAGATGAAATCAGGAGATGGGGCTAAATACCTGTTTATGTGTTCCCAAGTGTTCCGCAAGAGGTGAGGAGCTTATTTATTCATTCACCTTTTAGCACAGGAAGACGTCACCCACCTCCACACAATGGTGTGTCTGGCTCTTAGCTCCAGCCAAGCCAAGCTGCCCTGTTACACATAAATAAGAAGAACAGGTATTTATGCTTCATTAATATTCAGCAGGAAGACTGTTAATGCACTTATTCAAAAATAGGACAATCTTTCACAATACTACTCAGTATTAAGTTGCTTTACCTCTTTGATTAACAAAACTAATTAGGAATCACTCAAACGTTTAAAAATAGTTTAATCTAGGTATAACAATTCGGGGGACAAAAACCTCAGGGCCAACTAAGTTAAATTGGGAATTATGAATTAATTCTCTCTTGTTGTCTCTGGAAGGTTTTGCAAACACACATTTGGGCTTTGCTTTTGCTATGAACAGTAAGTGAAATAGTTTGAATGTTTGTCCCCTCCAAATCTCATGGTGAAATGTGATCCCCAGTGTTGGAGGTGGGGCCTGGTGGGATGTGTTTGTGTCATGAGAGTGGATCCCTTATGAATGGCCTGGTGCCATTCTTGGGGTAATGAGTGGGTTCTTGTTCTATTAGTTTCCTCGAGATCTGATTGTTAAAAACAGACTGGCACCTCCCTCCCCTCACTCTTGCTCCCTTTCTTGCCACATCTGCTCCCCCTTTGCCTTCTGCTATGACTGGAAGCTTCCTGAGGGGTCACCAGACGCAGATGCCAGCACCATACTTCTTGTACAGCCTGCCGAACTGTGACCCAAATAAGTCTCTTTATAAATTATCCAGCCTCAGGTATTCCTTTATAGAAACACCAAATAGACTTAAGACAGTAAGTTACTAACACAACACTCCCCAAGCATTTGTTTCTGTTTCTGTTTTTTGAGACAGGGTCTCACTCTGTTGCCTAGGCTGGAATGCAGTTGTGTAAACACGGCTCACTGTAGCCTTGACCTCTCCTGGGCTCAAGCAATCCTTCCACCTCAACCTCCTGACTACCTGGGACCACAGGCACATGCCACCATGCCTGGCTAGTTTTTAAATTTTGCATAGAGATGAGTCTCCCTACGTTGTCCAGCCTGGTCTCAAACTCCTGGGCTCAAGCAATTATCCCACCACAGCCTCTCACAGTGCTGAATTATACACATCAACCACCACACCCAGCCTTTTTTAACATTTGAACTTTAACCCATCATTTGAGAAAAAAGAAAAAAGGAGGAAGCACGCCTATCAAGGAGTTTGTTCTGGAGAACATGTGGGGATTAGAGAACATAAAAAAGTTAGAGTTGTCCAGGCTCGGTGACTCATGCCTGTAATCCCAGCACTTTGGGAAGCCGAGGCGGGTAGATCACCTGAGGTCAGGAGTTTGAAACCAGCCTGGCCAACGTGGTGAAACCCTGTCTCTACTAAAAATACATAATTTAGCTGGGTGTGGTGGTGCGTGCCTGTAATCCCAGCTACTTGGGAGGCTGAGGCAGGAGAATCGCTTGAACCTGGGAGGTGGAAGCTGCAGTGAGCCGAGATTGTACTACTGCACTCTAACCTGAGTAACAGAACGAGACTCTGTCTCGAAAAAAAAAAAAAAAAGTTAGAGTTCCTAATACCTCCCAGTTACTGCTGCGGAGTATGTGTTAAGGGGCTACAACCATTTCCCCCTTGGCCTAAACATCTTCATCAACTCGACTGGGGGCCATACGCCACAGTGCTGTCCTGTAACTCTATCAGCAGTGCTCCTGCTGTGGGCACATCTCCTCAGTCTTCTGGGAGGTGCTGAAGGCACCAGCGGTGCCAGAGAGCCAGGAGGGCAAAATGCTGCTTCACCCTGTGCCCAGGAGTCTCACAGACTTGAGACTGCTGACTTCTCCATGCCTGACATTTCCTTTCTAAAATGTGGGGGCTGTGGGGGAGGGGCAAGTACAGTGGCTCATACCTGTAAACCTAGCACTTTGGGAGACCAAGGCGGGAGGATCACTTGAGCCCGGGAGTTTGAGACCAGCCTGGGCAACACAGTGAGACCCTGTCTCTACAAAAAGGAAAATAAAAAAATTAGCTGGGCGTGTGGCAGTCGCCTGTAGTCCCAACTACTTGGGAGGCTGAGGAGGGAGCCGAGCGGATAAAGGCTACAGTAAGCTGCGTTTGCACCATTGCATTCCAGCCTAGGTGACAGTGTGAGACTCTGTCTGAAAACAAAAACAAAAATAAAAAAACAACTGGGGGCAACCTTCCTCCCCACTGGGATATTTAGAGGAAACAGGGAGTGTAAAAAGATACTGCCCAGGAAAAAGCATCTCTACGGTCTACAGAATGACTGCCATGCTGAAGTTAGGCTGTCTTCGGATGACTCTTCCTCCCAATGTGACCTGCAGTGTGACATTCAAATAAAAACATGGCAAAAAACACCCTTGATATACAATAGGGCCATGGATGGAAATATCTGGATACGGTAGAAATAGAAGAACCTTGTATTTTCTCACATAAAGGGGGTCACAGGACAAGCTGGAAAAGAAGCCAGACTTTGAGGTGGAAGACCTCACTGGAATTGGTGGATCATTTAACTAAATATCCAACCTTGGCGATGCGCCCCAAGCTCTCTTAATCTGTTTCTTAACCTGGAAAGCAGTGCTGATAAGGCACGCATCTCAGAGGGGCTGTGAGGAGGAAATGATGTAATTCATTTCCTTGGAATGAAGAAGGAAGCGCTTTTTTCAAATGCTTTATTCAAATGCAAAGCACATCTGGCGCTAAGTCCAAAATGCGCCCTCGGGTTCTCTCAGCCCCTCCACTCCTATATTCTTCTTCCTCAGTCTCTCTTTCTCATCCGGAGACGCCTTTCCACCTATCACGGTGGGTTGATCTTCAAACTGCGACTGGTTGTCAACCAGATGTAACTCTATTCACCAAACTATCTCTCACAATTGGATGGTGGGGGTGGTTGGTAACCGCATTTAATCCTGGGCTGACAATGGGATTGGATTCCTGGTTACACGGCCCTGCGCGGTCGCCCTGCGGTAAATGGCCTCTCAGCCCAAACCCACCCTGGTTTACTGAGCATGCCCAGACCTCCCTCCCGGGCCACCAAAGGAGGGGCACCATTTCTGCAGGATTTTGCCACTGTGGAAAGAGAGGCGGAGCTGTCATCGCGCAGAGGCAGGGACTGATACGCGGAAAGGACGTGGAGATGGGAATAAGTAATGAAGGACCCGCATTGACCATGTTAGCACACAAATCTAATTGCCCTCTGGTGCAAACTTACCACCCTGTGGCCGTGGCTCAGCTACCTGCACACACATACCAAATTCCTACACACCTTTCCCCCGCTTGGCCCCACACAATTCATGGCACTCACAGCCCACATCCTACCTCCTTCTCCGCACCAGATACGCACCCGCACTCACTCCCCAAACACGTGGCATCTGGTAACCTGGGAAACGCCGCGGCGGTGGCGCAGTGCGCAACAGGGGCGGGGGAATCAGGCGGGGCACTGGGGCGAGGGAAGCTGGAAATTTGGGGAGGGGGTTTCTATTTGTTTTTTCGCCCACTTTTTGTTTTTTGTTTTTTTGGTGGGGGAAGCAGAATAAACCAAACCGCGGCACGTTCCTGCGCCCTTCTTGGTGCAGTGGCGCAGACATGGTCCATGGCGCCTTGGGCAATAGAGCAGGTCTGCACCTCCTCTCTAAGTCGCGGCACTGGGCTGGAATTCCCGACTGCACCCTTTGCTACACCCCCATAGACCACAGACCTGCGTCTCTCTCTATGTTCCTCTCCCATCTGCTACGCCCCTCTGCATTTCTTCCCGCCATGTTGTGTGTCCCCCAACTCCCCCGTCACCCCAACCACACCAAAGTGGATGCACGAAGCGGGAACCTTCTCGTTTCAGTCTCTGCTCCGTGCAGCCTGCCAAGGCGAGTGGGCAAACTGAAGCTTGGGTGTCCAGCGTCTTGGCTGCCCCCTTCCTGTCCACCCTGCGTGTGCTACCCCTTGTTCATCTTCAGTGTCACCCCCCTTCTCATACCCTGAGTAGCCTGGCGCATGGCTTGTCCCCTTTTCCCATCCATCAGCTCACACCCAGGGTAACGGGGCGGGAGCCCTATCCTCAGTGCGCCCTCGCCCCCGGCCCACCTCCGCCATGCGACGGGGCAGAGACGCCTGGACCAGGCAGGTGGAGGAGAGGGGCACTGGGGCAGAAGGCTGCGCCCTCGGGTCCTCACTCCGCGTGCCCTGCCCAATACTTACCCAGGCGCGGAGAGCGGTCAGCAGGCCCTCCGCTCCGCATCCATTAGCTGGTGGTCTGGCCGCTTCACTTCCGGAGCGCGGGGCTAGGGGCGGTGCCGCCCTCCCCTCTCTCTCTCCTTCCCTCCCCTCCAGCCCTCCCCTGCGCGCTGCTCCCCTCCCCGGCGCCGCGCCCCACCCGCGCCTCCCTCCTCCCCGCGCTGCCGGGAACTGGCAGCCTCTCGGCTCCCGCAGCCGCCGCGGACGCCCTCCCAGATCCAACTTTGCCGCTTCCCCGAGCTCGCGCTGTAGCCGCGGGGGGCGTGGGCAGGGAGGGGAGAAGCGGGGTCAGGGGGAGGGACCGGGAGGGTGGGTCGCCGGCTCGCCAGCCCTCCTTCCTTTCTGTGCACCTTGCGGTGGGCGGCGAGCGGCAGCCGCGGCAGCAGCTAGGGGGCTTGTGCACACAGCAAGGGAGAGTTAGGGACTGGCAGACGGAAGGACGGACGGCGAGGACCCTCCCTGAGCCCCCGAGCCATGGCCGAGAGAAAGCAATCCGGGAAGGCGGCAGAGGACGAAGAGGTCCCTGCCTTTTTTAAAAACCTGGGCTCCGGCAGCCCCAAGCCCCGGCAGAAATTTTGTGGCATGTTCTGCCCGGTGGAAGGGTCCTCGGAGAACAAGACCATCGACTTCGACTCGCTGTCGGTGGGCCGGGGCTCGGGGCAAGTGGTGGCTCAGCAGCGGGACGTCGCCCACTTGGGTCCGGACCCGCAGCCGCCGTACTCGCGGCAGGGCCGGCGCGCCGGCGGGGAGCCATCTGTTGAATCGAGCCGGAAGGTGGAGATCCGGAGGGCCTCGGGCAAGGAAGCCCTGCAGAACATCTACGACCAGGTCGGTGTGGGGGTGGGGGGTGGAGACGGAGGACGGGGCTCGGGGATCGCCCCTCCCTCGCCCCTGAGCCCGGCGCGCCCGCCTTCATGCCCCGCCCTGTACCTCGCCTCCCGCATCTGCACGCGCACCCCGCCCTACCCGCCCCTTCTCCGCGCAGGGTGCGGCGAGGCTCGGGCTGGGCGGTGGGCGACCGTGAGCCCACAAAGGCTGCCCGAGTCTCCTTGAGCTTGGGAGGTGGGGGGTGGGGTTAGGGGATGGGCTGATCACTTGCTGGGGCGGGCGGTGGTCGCCTGGGAGGGGGTTGGCCGAGGTTCCATTCTTCTGAAATCCTCCCGGGCGGCTTCCGATGGCAGCTGCGACTGGGTGCCCCACCCTTTTTTTGAGGCGGCTCGGAGCGTGCGGTGGAGGCTTTGCGTGAAGGCCCGCGGCTCCCCGGTGGTCGGGAGGGGTTCCGACGGCAGCTCTCCGCAGCCTCCGCGGGCGCCTTCTGCGCTCACGTCCTGAGCTCCGAGGCCAGGACCATGGTCAGCGCCCCCTGGACCGCCTCAGAGCACCGCACCGCCCTTGACTCCTGCTCGCAGCTTGAGAAGAGCCAGGGAGGCCGTGGAATCGCCCGAGGAAACCGAGACGCTCCTAAATAGCCTATGTGGGGAACAAAGTTCCAATAAGTGTCTCAGCCAGGGCTTCACGGAGCTCTCCCCAAACCGCTATGTGGGAGGCGCTTTAGGAACCGGGGAACTAAGTGGATTATGTTCAAAGGGTCAAAAAGACAAGAAAAGGGGGAAAACCCCTCGCATTCGAAATAGACTATCGAAGAAGACTAAACCCCCTCTTCCTGTGTTAATAGGGGAAACAAAGGCCGTTTTGGTCACTCTTGATTTTAAAAAATGTTTGTCACTTTCTGACAAATATGAACAGTGAGCATTTTCAGCGCAGTAATAATCTCACACCACAATTCTCTCTTTATCTGAGTGATCCTTACACTAGTGTAATTCTTTTCCACAGCCTTAATTTCTTAACTGATAATTTACAATGCAAAATGTTTTAACACGTTTTCTGTTTCTCTCCCATGTCTGGTGGTAAAAATGAGAAGTCAATCAATGAATGATTATTGATTGAATACCTATCGTGCGCCTTGCCTTGTAGGGCAGGGGGAAGGTTAGTTATACAAAGTGCAAGAGGTTTCTTCTTCTCAGAAGGCTTCCAGAGTAGTTGGGAGTGGTCTATACATATTCAGTGAGGGATCCCACAAGCATTTACATTTGTGTACTTACAGTGACAGCCTTTGAGAACAATGCAGAGTTGGTGATGATGGTTGGGGCATGATGTGACTGTTTGCTGATGTGACATAGAGTTTTGACTTTTGTAGGGTCAAGTCTAGGAAATATAAGCCACTTGCAGTCATTTGTAAAAGGTGTCACAACTAATAATTTATATCCACCCCCAGCCCTGCCCTCTAATTTGTTCATGTAAGGGAGTGTCTCATATCCATATTTCACTATGAGTCAACCAGAAGAACCTAAACCCAAAAAAACTTGCTTTGTTCCAAGTGATCAGACAATTGAGGTAAAAGTTTCTAATAATTTAACTTATACTGAAAGCTGAGTGTGTGTGAAACACTTCCCTATGTGAATACATTGGGTGAGGGCCAAAATCATACAGCATCATGGTTGAGTGAGTAGCCTCATGCATGGCGAGTTGTGCTGGTGATTCTAATGTCCTAGACAAAGCAGAAAAAACAACTGGAGAATAAAGAAGAGATCATGTAAAAAATGGCAGATCAGAGGATAGGGGTTGAAAGTGGCCACCCCTATCATGATAGCAGTGAATTAAAACTCAAGTTTGAAAGGCATAGTTTCATCAGGTTGAATAACACTTCTTTTTTCTTGGCCATTTGGACGCTTAGATGTTTGAAATTCTAAATTGTAAATCTAAGGCACACAGAGGGGGAGATTTGAAGAGAAAAATACGCAAACGAACCACCAGGCAATTTTAGATTGCAATCCACATTGGCTTCAGTTGCTCAGTTATTACTAACAGAAGGCAATTCTAGCTTGGCCTTTCTGCAGCACCTTCCCCTGAATTTTCATGTTTAATCTTGCCTTATCATATAAGGTCTATTCAATGGGATTTTGTCATTCATGACTAAGAGCATTTATCTGGGTCAGTACTTGCAATGTTTCAATATTTCATGTCTGTACAAAAGGGGAAAGGCTGTGGCTATACATGTGTTTATATTTATAACAATAGCGACTTCTGAGAAGCTCAACTGGCCCACCGTTTTGACTGAGTTGACTTGTCATTAGTTAGTTTTCAATGAATGAGCCAGGTGAGTGCCAGCATCTCCATGCATTCTAATTGGAAGCCCTGGGGCAGAGAAAGGTAGGGGAGATTGAGAGTGGGTGGATCCTGGGACCCTGACTCACACCATCCCTCCTCTCTTGCAGCTTTATTTGTGTGTTATTAGTGTATGGTCAGACGTGGCTTTGCTCAGCTGTTGCACTAAGAGGCCTGCTGTTCCCCTAGCAAGGCTTTGGGAAGGGAGAGAACAGGCTTCCTTGACCCACATGCCACATGGCTCATGGAAGATTAGAGATGTTGGACATGTGCATTTGCAGGAACTAAATGAAATTATGTTCAGAGTGTGAGCCAGACAGCACCAGAAAGCGATGGGTGTGGCTTGACTTGGCATGTCAGATTTTGGCAGAGAGAAAGAGCTGGTGTAGTGATTGTGAATGAGGAAAGCGTCTATCCTGTTATTCTCTTTTCCCTATAAGTCCACTTTGGGCTGCAGTGAGGTTACATTGATCACCACTGTGAAAGACTCTGAACCTCTTGGAAGAGAGAGAAGAAGGGCATCTCTGTTGGTCCAATCCTCCCTTGTCAGTGCCCAGGGGTCCTTCAGCCTCTTCCCTTCCTCCTAGGAACTCCCTCCATTTCACCCCAGACACAGTGTAGTGAGAATCAGTGGCTCCACCTGGGATACTGGACCATAAGAATGCTTTCCAAAGGGGCCTCTAGGCCCTTTTCCCAGCAGTAAACAACCTATACAGGCTGGGATGACAGGGAGTGATTCTCTTCCTCTCCAGGGCAGGTGCCACTGAGTGAACTGCACAGTGCTGCTGAGCTTGACAACGTCACTGAGTCTGTGAAGTGCTCTCTCTGGTGCTCCCTTCCATCTGGTGTCCCCATCCCTTCTCCCTGTGTTGAGTCTCTTCTGGCCCTGGGAGCCTAGTGCAGTGCTGCCCCCTAACTGTTCAACATCATCCCCACTCCATCCCCATAGGATGCCCCTTCTAGACCTTTCTTCTTCCAAAGGACAACAGGTTCTAAAATCACTCTTTGGCTGCCCTTCTCCCATTCAGAATTCTTAACTTGCATTAATCTTAGTTAAAGAGAAATTCCAATGATTAAAGCCATCTGCTCCTCAGGCGAATGACTGATGCCCAAGTTGTCCCCAGAGATCCATGGTTTGGTAACAGACTAGACTATTAAACAAAACGAATGCGTAGTTAGTGTGGTGTGTGGTGGAGATTTGGAATAAAGGCAATACCTTGATACTTTACAGGTCATATTTGGTTCGAAACAGGAGATATGAGCATTTGTGTGTTCAAGATTCCAAAAAACCTAAGACCCACCTGGGTTCAAAAGGAGGAAAGTAGAGGTGGGGAGTACTTGGAGAGGGGAAGGAAATGATGAAAATCCATAATTATTGTTTGCTCTTGATTTCCCAGCTGATTATTTAACTAATCATATAATTAGTTAAATTAAAAAATAATTTTTATATAACATAAAATTTGCCACCTTAACCATTTTTAAGTGTACAGTCCAGTGGTGTTAAGTGTATTCACATTGTTGTGCAACCAATCTCCAGAACTTTTTCATCCCCCCAAGCTGAAGCTCTGTACCCATTAAACACCAGCTTCTCATTCCACCTCTTCCCAGCCCCTGGCAACCACCATTCTCTTTTCTGTCTTTGCCAGCTTGACTACTCTAGATTCCTCATATAAGTGAAATGACACTGTTTATGTTCTTTGTGACTGGCTTATTTCACTTAGCATAATGCCCTTAAGGTTCATCTATGTTGTAATATGTGACAGCATTTCCTTCCTTTTTATGGCTGAATAATATTTGTATAATTAGTTAAATTATAACAAGTCTTTAATGATTTAAAAAGTTGTTGCTCAATTAATTGGCCTGCAATAATTAATTGTGGGAGGAAGGAAGAAGGATTAGATTTGGGATGAAATAGGCTTCCCCAGGTCTGGGGCCTACAATCTAACCAGAAGAAAACTCCTGCCAGCTAACCAGCATCTACCATCTTTCCCCTTGGAGCTCAAGGATGGAGAGGAGAACTGCTGTCATTGAACCCCAGTGACAACTTCTGGCCATG